AAAGACCCCCTGCTGTTGGGAGCCCATCTACATGTGAATACAAAAGGCCATGAAAGGAAATGCTCATCCTGAATGGTCCCTCTAGATTAATGTTGTGCTTGACATGACCTTCCTAAGAAAGCCCTGAAAAACAGACAGACATTACTCTTGGATTTCCTGAGCAGGTGGAATAGGCGAAAGGAGTGAGATCTGCTACCTTTTATAGAGCCATTCTCCATCATGAGCTGGACACCGGAGGGTGGTTTTTTTTATTGTCTGCAGTTTTCCCTTGCTATTTTTTCACACATAGTCTTTTCTCTGGTTTCTTGAAAGCAGCTTGCTTTAGAGCCATTCTCCATCATGAGCTGGACACAGGAGGGTTTTTTTTTTAATGCACTGCAGTTTTCCCTTGCTATATTTTCACACATAGTCTCTTCTCTGGTTTCTTGAAAGCAGCTTGCTTTGCAATCTCCAAAGGCTTGCTACTGCTCCAAAACTAATTCTAATGGCATTTCTGTCTGGAGCATGATTACAGGGTATATAAAGCTGACAATACTATCTGCTTCTGGATTGGACAAGTTTATGCTTTCCTTGGATTTCCTGCCTTCTCACTGACCAAGAACATACAGAGTTGGGGGTGGGGGTGGAGAAGTGGGGTGTTAAAAGTTCTTAGCTGATGTCTTTGGACACTCCAGACCAAGAACATACAGAGTTGGGGGTGGGGATGGAGAAGCGGGGTGTTAAAAGTTCTTAGCTGAGACTCCTGTAGCCATGGAGGATGGTAAGTAGCAGGATTAAAGGAAGAAGACATATTGCGCATGCTTGGTCACAAGGACTTATCAAGTGGGCCTTATACCGAGTCAGAACATGGGTCTATCAAGATCAAGCACTGTCCTCTCTGATTGACAGCCCTCCGGGACAGCAGCCCTCCAGGGTCTCAGGTGAAGGTCTATCGCATCACCTGCCACTGTCTAACTGGAGATACTGTGGACTAAAGCTGGTACCTTCTGTACACTTGAACACACCAGGCTGTCTGGGACAAAAGAGATCGAGATAATGAGCAAAGCAGCATCCATAGGTTTAAGAGATAAAACCTCACGATACTATTCTTATGGACACTGTATTTGTACATTGTATACGCATAGTACCCTATTCAGTCATCCTCATAAACATCATGCTGGGCAGAAAGCTCCTATTTCCACTAGAGTCTATCCTCCACATCACAAGCCCTGTACACACAATTCTATGTGTACTGAGATCAATACAGGTAGAGGGGGAATGGACCCAAATGTACAGTCCCCATCTCCCACCAACATACGATCATAAGCATACCGCCCTCCCTATAATTGGCAAAGCTGCTTTTTCAAATGTTTCTGATCACACAGATTGAGTCTATGTGTGCATATTTCCTATGTGTATATCATCCTTGCTCATGATCAAGCAATCACGCACTGGTGGGGGCAAGCATTCTTGTGCCCCCTGCCTGTGCACTGATTTCAAAATACACAGTATTGTGCATAGAGGAATACACAGGATCTTCATCACCTCCCTCTACAAAAAGCAAGACAGAGTGTGGAAGGCTGATTATGAGTACTCTTGAGCTGCAAGAATGGCAATTCATTATTTTAACATCCATTGTTTTACAGAGTCAATGTTAAAACAATATGTTCCATGCAACATGCCAAATAGGAAAAGTATACAAGCATTCCCTTCCTGTTCTCTTTTATAATTTAAGCAGTTTATGTTGGAGCCAACTGCAGCACTCTACTTGAATACAGACTGTGATCGCACAAGTCATGTTCACCGATACACTTCCTGGAGCGCACTTGCTTCTTCCCCAAAACAAAGAACCAGCCTTTCACCAGAGTGGGAAGTGCTTCATCTTTCTTCCTGTGGGAAGTACCCATTTGGAAACAGCTGCTTGCATCAGAGAAGAATGCTTGGCTTAGAGTCTCTTTAACATTTGTTGAAACTCCCCTTCCCAATGTCCACCCCAACACGCCCCCCTTTTTTGTGGCACCCGCTGCATACTCTCAAAATTCCAAAACAGCTCACATGTTCAACAAAGTTGGGAACTCCTACCATAACTGACCCCTAATAAGTCAGTGGGAGAGCACATGTCTTGCATGCCAGTAGTCCTAGGTACAATTCTTGCCAATGTTCCATTTAGAAGGATTCAGTTTCAGCAGAGTAGGGGAGACACCTTCTTGAAACCTTGGAGTGCTTCCACAGGTCAGAGGAGCCATCAGTGCTCTGACCCAGGGTAAGGCAACTATACCTATTCAACATTGGCTGCTTTTTCACCCTACCATTTGGCAGAAAATCTTACCTTTTGCAATTATCCGTTGTGCCCACTTTGCGGAACAAGTAGTCTATATACCATGATTGTTTTATTCCAGCTAAATTACCCAACAAGCGTTCTCTGAATTACCTTGCCAAATTAATAACTGTGGGGTGTCTTTCCCACCTGGGGATAAAGCTATTGTATTAAAAGAACAATATTCTTGCCCTGCACATTCCTCTTATCCAAACCAAAGCATTCGTACATCCTGTCCTGCATTAATTTTAAACACTCTGATGATAAAGAAGACATGGCTCATGTAGTGTGACAAACAGCAAGCTCTCCAGCAGGGACTGATGAATGCAGAAGACTGAGTTAATCCAGTTGACTGTAGGTGTCTGAGCCAGATCCATTTGACGGTCCCTAATTGGCACTTGCTGTCTTTCGCCCATGATTTGAAAACATTAGCTCTGTCTAGTGAATGCCTTTCTTATTTCACAATTCTTCCAAGGAGCTGAGGGCAGTGTAAATGGTTCTTCCTTCCCAATTTTATCCAAGCAATACCCTTGCAAGGTAAGTGAGGCTGGGAATGAGCAAGCAGTCCCAGATCACCTGATAAGTTTGACAGCAGAGTGGGTGAGTTGAACTTCCGTCTCTTAAATCTTATTCCAACACTGTACCCACACTGGATCACCTATTAACACATGGAGCTGGTGCAGCATGAGGGCTAAGAGTGAGAGGCATGATACAGGAAACCCTGGATTCAAATATCACCTCTACCAAGATCTTGCTAAAATAACAATTCAGGACAACCTGGTTTGTTGTGGCAATTGCAGCACAAATATCACCTCTACCAAGATCTTGCTAAGGTCTCAGCCTCAGCTCTTTCCCATCTGCAATATGGAAATAACAATTCAGGATTACCTGGTTTGTTGTGGCAATTGCAGCGAGATCATATTTTAATCCCACCTCCCCTCTAAGGTGTTCAGGACAGCATACACAGTTCTTCCCACCTCCCCTCTAAGGTGTTCAGGACAGCATAAATTCCCCTTTCTTTGTACTACGTGCTTCAAATAAACAAATAAATAATTAAGGAAAGCGCTTTATAGTTTTTTAATATAATTATTATTGCTGTAGAAATCCAGATTATACTCCTCCCAGAAAGACAACATCCACATGAAATGACAACAAAGGCTTATTTATTTTCCTGCATTCCCATCCCAGCCATACATTGGATTATTTGCTCATATCCATCTGAAAAGTTGTAGCTGCTGTTTTGGATACGCACCAGTTCCCTTGGATGGAATGCTTCTTCTTGACGGAAGATGAGAAGGCTTACTGTCCCTCCCATCTTGGTACTTCTCAGCAGGGAGACAACTTCCTCTTGGGTCTTTCCAGTTAAATCCACTCCATTTACCTATAAAAGATTGGTTTTAAAAAAAATCTTAAATCGCACTATCTACAGCAAGGGATGACATTGTTGCAGATCAAACACACACAGCAATACAATATTCAACTAGACCCATGTAATGGCTTTAAGACAGAACAAGAAGCTATGCCTGTGGGCGTGAAGCTGCAAGGGTCTTGAAGTGACGACTGCTGTAAACAAAGATGAAAAGAACACATTACTATGTAGATAAGTCACTTCTTGCTAAAGAGGTCATATTGACACTGTCTTCTGGTCTCTCTTAATTTCTACATAGGGCATGTACACCATGCCTAATGCAACATCTTAGCCTGACCTGAAATTCCTTCCTCTTTTGCAGGCTTGTGACTCACACTGTCTTCTGGTCTCTCTTAATTTCTATATAGGGCATGTACACCATGCCTAATGCTACATCTTAGCCTGACCTGAAATCCCTTCCTCTTTTGCAGGCTTATGACTACCTACATGCCTGGCAGAAACAGTTTTTATTCACTACAGGCAAAGTAGAGCCAGGGTGAAAGAGTAGAACATTGTGACACATACAGCAATGGCCTCTATCCTGCTGCCTGTTTGCTATTTCAAGGAACTGTTCCTTGCTTACTTCAAAAATATTTATGGAAGGGATGCACCATAACTGGAATGAGCAGCTTTAATTTAATGTACTGCAAGGACAATGTATTCTAATAAATCAGTGGTAATGTTCCAACACACCGAGTACATTATTTCCTTATGGTCTCACAATGTGTTACTTATATTGGAGCTCTTCAAGTGGCAACGCTAATCTCAGTTCACACACCCCCTTTCTGCTCTCCCTGCTGAAAGAATCCAGAGTGCATGTCATTGTTTTACCCCACCGGCTCTGCGTTTAGCAGAGGCTGGGGTGTGTGGCTGTAGTATGCCCATAGATGGCTATATGGGCAAGCTGTTCATTGATTCACTTGCATCTGTATTCAGAGGAAGCCCTACTAATTCAGGAGGGCAGCAATAAGCTAAATTCATGATGCCATGTCCTTAATAGGAAATAAAGCAAACAAGGGTTTAAAAAGTCAACATTTACTATAGACTGGAAGACTTGTTCCTTCAACACAGCCATCCCAGTGGCTACATGTTCTCAAAAGAGCCTGTCCAACACCCTTCAGATGCTCTGCTCTAGCCGATCCCATTCAGAGGAGCCACCATTTACCATCAAGTACAGGGCCTTCTCTGTGGTAACACCTCATTTATTGACTACCCTCTCTGTAATCATCTTCCTGGCACTGAATGTAATGACTTTCAGGTGCCAGATTAAAACATTATTGTTCATCTTTTTACTTATCTTAATCTATGTTACTTTTGGTGGTGTTGCTTTTATTGTTTTTATGTTGCTGCTTACACTTCTCATTACAGAACAGCTGGTTTTGATTTGGGCTAGTTTTCTGCTACTCTGTGCTGCAGTTCTACATTTCATGCTGCTAAGAATTAAGTGTTATTGTACTTGACTGTTCTTGGAGATCTTAAATGTGTTCATCGCCATCAGGAGCCTGAGGATTTAAACCCCAAGAAGTCACATATAAAGACATCAATAAGCATGCAGCCATAGAATATGTCTAGATATGATCACAAACCGAGGCCACCTTAATTTAGACAACAAACCAGAACACTCCCCTCTCCCTCAAATCTCTGAAAAATGCCAGATGTCCAAAGATTTGTCCTTGTTTGCTTGCAATATTCAGTGTACACAGTGGCTCATTTGAAGCTGTGGGAGATTTAGTGAGCATCACTGAATGACAGACTGGGAAGCTGAAATGGAACACAGTCAAAGGAAATCATGGGGGGTGGGATCTTTCCATACATAGCCACAGGGCAGAGTTGGGAATGCAGGTCAGTTAGTGAGTACAAAGGGACAACAGTTATTTGAGGCAATTCAAGTCAGCAGAAGATAATGAAATGCATCACAAAATGCTTAAGGAACTGGCTTAAGAAACCTAAGAGCCACTGACATTTATTGCTGAGAACTCTCAGAGGACAAAGTGATGTCCTGGCAGACTACGGTGGGGGAAGGGGGGAAGCAAACACGGATTTTTGTTGTTGCTGCTGAAAAGCGTAACAGCAGATCCAGAGAATTATAAGAACAATTGCCTTGACTTTGGTGCTCAGCAAGCTATTACAACAGCAATCAAACAGACAAGAAGGAGTTATCGAAACAAGCCCTGTCAGACTAAGCTTGTTTCTAACCTTAGGAGAACAAAATATATATAACTACTTTACAAAACAAGAAGAGTTCAGTGGAAAAACAATCTTCTCTTCAGTAAAGACAAAGACAATATTCAGCATTGCACATGAGGATTGGAAGGGGATAAAACAGAGAAATCCAAAATGTACTTCGGCCTATGGTGTACTTTGAAGAGGCGACAGAGCTGGGACACCATGGAAATCATGTCCGAATCTGTCAACCCTGCCTGCTTCACTGGAGTTTTAACAGGCTTTTAGTAGAACCGTTACCCCAAATGAACACCTAGATTCAAGTGAACAGCTGGACTCTAATGAACAGCTGGACTTGAATCTAGCTGTTCTACTGCAGATCAGCATGGCTACCCTATGAAACTACCCATTAAATGAGATTCCCTATTTGGCTCTACAGGGGTCTCCACTGCATACGGGGACAAATGCGGCAAACCAGAAAGGCTGACCTCCAGCCCATATGACCATTAATGCAGAACAGCTGATCTTATTCCTCTATTGTCTCCCTCACAGCTCCTCTCTCTTGTCCATTGCACAAACTACCCTGCTCCTTCCACCCTGTTCCTTGCACCACCTGGCAGGGTTAAAACTGCAACTCTTCATCTCCCCACAAGCTGTCTTATCATGCTCCTATCCCATGGCAAGCTCAGCCCCTAAGTGAGATCCCTCAAGGGACATCATTCTTGGATTGCACTAAGCCTTGACAAGGATCATCAGAAAGGACTACCAAAGCTTGACCAGTCCTGCAGCTCATTCCAACTCTAAGCTTTCAACATTTAAACCATAAAGTAGAGAAAGCAGTGTGAATCTGTAACCAAACAAGAGTCTGTGATGAATATTGTTGCTATGTAGATTGTTAAGGCAAAATGGCAGACTCTCAGGAACAGTGCAAAATCTGTAATGAAAAACTGGGGAGAACATGTCAATGGGTTTGCCACTTTTACCTTAAGCCTTTTTAAAGAGAACTGTATAGGAAAAAGCTGTCGTTCCTTACCACATAAAAATTACTGAAGCAGCCAAGTATATAAGAGTTTGCCATCTAAGAAAGAAAAGAAAACACCACCCCCATACTTTGCAAGACACTAACTATGATCTGGGATATGGAATGGTATAGTATAGCCTGATCTCATCAGATCTTTATTTATTTATTTATTGATTTATTGTTTATGTTTATATCCCGCCTTTCCAGATATCTGGCTCAAGGCGGCTAACAACATTAAAATGGCATAAACAACCAAGTTAAAACAATTAATAAATACCTTGGAAGTTATGCAGAGTTGATATTTGGAAGGAGGACCACCAAGGATGTCTCTCCAGAGAAAGGCAATAGCAAACCACCTCTGCTTCTCACTTGCCTTGGAAGTCCCTTGCTGGAGTTGCCATAAGTCAGTTGTGACATGACAGCACATGCATATGTAATTATGTACTTGACCCACACAAGATTTTTTGCACATTACTTACCTTCTGCTTCACTTATCAGAACTACTTTGAATTACAAACTCTGCTTAGCAGGACTTATTTTAAAAGGCTGTGTATGATTAACTGATTCTAGATCAGACTTCATTTTTTTTAAATTTTAGGCATCAAAACTATCTGAAAACCAAAAAGAGCTAGGGGAACCACTCTAAAAAGCACTCTGTGCGCACATGTATGTCCTAGGTTCAATGGAATTGAGGAAGTCAGTGAAAGTTGCTTCTCTGATATATTTTTACACTGCACATAAAACAAACCTTTGCTCAGACTCTGTGCTTGTCAATAGGAAATGTCACTGACTGAATTAAATCACCTTAGTGACAGAATGTGAATTCCAGATAAATTCAGATTCTCCAGATAAATGGAAAACAATATATTTTCTACTAACCAATGAACCACCTTCCCCAACCTGCTCTTCCTACCCTCACCCTCACTGTTTACTCTCCATTCTATTCTACTTCCCCTTCACATTTGTAGACTGCACGTTTCTGGCCTGCCCATTCCAACAGAATTTCCCCTGCGCTCCTCCTTTGTTTTGACTGTTCATGTGTGTTCCCACAAAGAAAGCTTGGATGGAGTTAAAACAGAGAGCAATTCACTAAAGGAAAGGTAAAAAGCATTACAAGTAGGGATGCCAGCCTCCAGATGGGACCGGGGAATCCCCCGGAATTACAGCTCATCTCCAGACAACAGAGGTCACTTCCCCTGGAGACAATGGATGCTTTAGAGGGCAGACTCTATGGCACTGCACCCCACTAAGGTCCCTGTCCTCTCCAGGCCGCATTTCCACATCTCCAAGAATTTCCCAACCTGGATTTGGCAATCCCAAACCCCCATCATCTGCTGGTGTAACACATATAAAACTCAACAACAAATTAGAAAATAACCCTAGCATAGTTTTATTGATATGCACAGAAATCCACAGGCTAAAAAAGCTGGATCTCTCTCTCTCCGTCTCCCCCCCCTCTCCCCTCCCTCCCTC